TCAAATCCAGAAATGCACTTCCTCCGTTCTTGGTTTGCTCCATTCTCACTCCTGCTTCCTTATACCACCTTGACTCTGAGAGGGGCTATTTTTCTGAAGCATTCAGGAACAAGTCCATCTGTCTGGGTAGAAATAAACCTATCAGACCTGTATGCCAGGCACTCACCATCTGGGTACATCAGACTAGCAGCAGGATCCATGGGGACATCCTGTGGCCCCAGTGGAGCCATTCCCGGTGTCCCCCACTTTGCAGCTCAGCCCACATCTATATGCCTGCACATCTCAACTGCCAGCACACAATCCCATGGGCCTCGGTGAGGTATGCCAAATAGATAGAGCCCAGAAATGACTCTGAGAATGGCAATTTGGTCTTTTTTTCTGGCTTTCTCTGAAGGATTATTTCAAATTTGGTTAATCAGACGTAATTCAGGTGTTATCAATAGGTGTCAGCTTATCTGACCAAAGCACCCTGTTTAGAGTATTGAGTCTTGGAGGAAACTCGTTGTCATCATCCCACCATCCTCTCCTACCTCAGACACTTCATCACAGTGGCCTTTTCTCTCCCTCCTTAGGGTTTCTCTGTGTTCACAAGGGGCCAGGCAGCCTCCTCAAGGCTAACATGCTATGTGTTAGATTATTCCCTTTCTCCTGTTATGGAAAGATTTTGCTGACTGGAAAATGCAAAAACCAGAAGAAGGAGGAGGAAAGGGAGGAGATGACGAAGGAAAAGAAGAAGAGAAGAAAATTAGAGGAGGAAGAAGACATGCTTTCAAAAAAACTTTGTTTGAGATAATTACAGATAAACATGTAATTGTAAGAAGTAATGCAGAGATCCCTATACCCTTCGCCTAGTTCCCCCAAGGGTAACATCTTATCTAAGTACAGTACAATATCACAGTCAGAAAATTGGTGGTGATACAACGCATGGACCTTATTCAGATTTCACCAGTTTTACACGCACTCGTTTCTGTGTGTGTTTAGTTCTATGCAGTTTTATCACATGTGTAAATACACGTCACGATCACCAGTGTCTAGACAGAACAGTTTCGTCGCGAGGACTCCTTTTATAGCCACAGCCACCTCCCCCAACCTCTGACAAGCACTAATCTGTTTTCCATCTCTATGAACTTGTCATTTCAAGAATGTTATATAAATGGAGACAATATAATTCCCTAGAGATTCATCCCACTTGTTACGTGTATCGATAGTTCATTTCTTTTTTATTGCCAAGTAGTGTTTCATAGGATACACATAAGCACACCACAATATGTTTAACCATTCACCTGTTGAAGGACATTTAGTTGTTTCCAGATTTTAGTTATGACAAATAAAGTTGCTGTGAACATCAAAATTAAGTTAAGTTAAGTGAACACAGGTTTTCATTTCTCTAGGACAGATGCTGAAGAGTGCGGTCTCTGGATTGCATGGTAATCACATGTTTAGTTTTATAAGAAACTGCCAAATGGTTTTCTGGAGTGGCTGTATCATTTTACATTCCCATCAGCAATACATGAGTAAGTCAGTTTCCTTGCATCCTCACCAGCACTGGGTGTTGTCACTATTTTTTTTTTTCCTAGCCATTTTGGTATGTGTATAGCAATATCTCACTGTGATTTCAACTTGCATCTCCTTAATGGCTATTGCTATTTAACATCTTTTCATGCATTTATTTGCCAGCCGTATATCCTCTTCAATGGAATGTCTGTTCATGTCTTTTCTAACTGTATAGTTTTTCTTTTTTACCATTGATTTGGCAAGTCCTTTATATATTCTAGAAAATTAGCGCTTTGTCAAATATGTGGTTTGCAAATATTTTCTCTCCATCTGTAGCTTGACTTTTCACCCTTTTCACAAGATCTTTCACAGAGTGAACATTTTAAATTTTGAGTCAGTCACATCTATCAAATTTTCCTTTTACAGATTGTGCTTTCGGCATTAAGCCTAAGAACTTTGTCCTAAACACTAGGTCCAGAAGATGTTCTTCCATTTTTTCCTTAAAAGTTTTATAGTTTAACGTTTTACATTTAAGTTCATGATTCATTTGAGTTAATTTTTGGAGAATGTGTAAGGTTTAGGTTGGTTTATTTTTTTGTTTATGTGTGTTCACTTAGGTGTAGTTTTAAAGGTTAATCCTTGCAGCAACCTTTTGAAATGGCTATTATATTATCATCCCATTTTACAGATGAAGAAATCCAGAGAGATTTGGTGATGTGACCCAGGCCCAATGGCTGATAAGTGGTAGGGAAAAAGCCCAGGCTTGAATGCATATCTAACTGAGTCACTTAAGCTCTGCTCCTACTGCCTCATGTCGTCTCTTTCTCTCTAGGAGAGTCTTGCTTCCTGGGCAGATGATCCAGTTTCCTGCACACATTCCTTCCTCTTGACCAACCTTGCCCTTGCCGTACCACACAGGCTACCAGAGCCTGGAGCCTGCCAGAACTTGTCCATGTGTCCTGTGTCATGTTTGCAGGGTGGAGAATGGGGGCAGATTGGGAAATTTTCCTGTACACAAAAAGCTTGTTATTCTGGGTTTGGAGAAAGGCTCACATTGGGTTTCAGCATCTTCCAGAGTATTGCAGAACTGCTTTACCAGCACACTGCTTTGGGATGGCAGCTCGAAAACTCTAGGCTCCCCTAAAATAACCACACACACACGCCCCACCACCACCACCACCACAACACAATACATTTATTAAGTCCTAGTCCAGAAAATTTCCATCCCTGAGCTGCCAAAAAATGCATTGATAGAGGTCAATAGGAAGGACTCGGAGCATCTTGGGGCAAAATTTCCATGCCTATAACATGCTTCTTGCTTCTTCTGGTGGATTTGGGTCATGGTCAGACTATACCCACCTCATTCATTCCATTCAGTCATACCATTCCCATTCATTCATAATCTATTCCCAGCCACGAAGAGGAGTGGCATTGAAGGTGGAGCTTTCTTCTCCAACTCTCTCCTCTCTACTCACTAGCTGTGGACATTTCAGCCAGGCAGGACTTGGGAACTTCTGCACTGAGACCACTGGAAAGAAATGAGCAGCTTCTAGGCTGACTTTGCTCTTTCTCGACTCACTAAGCATCATTCCACTTATTAATGAGAGATCTAGGAGTTCTTTGCCTCTGTGACTTTACACTCTGGAAGATCCCCTCCCACTACTATTCCAGAGCTTATCCAAAGACAACCAGGCTTTTGTCCTGGTCTAATTAGGAGAGAGAGAGAGGGAGTAGAATGAGCCTGGTCTAATGACTCCAGTTGCTTTAGGTATGTGAATATATCTATTTTGCCAGATTCTTCAGGAGCCTCAAGGTTGCTTGAACTCACAGCTTGTCTGTTTCAACGGCTGGGCCAACGGTAACACCCTTGGGTCCTGACCGTTCCTCAACCCCCACCATTGTAAAGTTCACCTTCTCAATCTCCATGCTCACCCACCCAGCAGATCTCCTGATCTCCCTGACAATAATCTTCCAAGCTTCTCTGGGGTGCAGACTTGTCAGGGTGAGACTTGTCAGGGCAGGCTGGGCTGCTCCAGGAGCCATATTTTATTGTGCCATGCCTTGCTCCAGCCAAAGCAAACTGGAGGCCTCTCTCCGACACTGTCTTTGGGTTATGTCTCCTGCTTTGGATTCAGGTTCCCTCATTCCACCCTCTTTCAGGGAGCAATATTCTATTCCCCCTCTTTCCCCTATATTCTTAAAAGGCTACCTTTGCTCTTCCAATGCCTAACCCTTTGCATAGGAACCAAATAGACCTGGGTTTGAATCTCAACTACCACTTACTAGCTATGTAGTCATTCACTACGTACTGTTTTCAAGCCCATTTCCCCCATCTGTAAATAGGAAGATTTTGATCTCATAACATCACTGTGGATTTAAATAAGATCACATCTGTAAAGTATGCACAGTAGGCAAAGTAGCTACTGATTCTGAGACAAAGTTAATGCTCAGAAGTTGCTGTCATTGGTCCCTTTGACAACTGTCTCCGGGTCAGTCTTCTGTCCTTATTCTGCTTGCCAGAATTTATCCTAGAGATGAAATGTAAATTGTTATGGAAATAGCAAATTCTCCAGCTTCCACCTGGAGTCTGCTCAGCTATCACACCCACACTGTTTCCTGGGAGTCTGGGAGGAGTCATACTCTGGCTGTCCCCTGAGCCTCATCTCTGATCCCTGGCAACAAGCCACCCCCACAAGCCAAGGAGTCCACCTCCTCCACAGTCAACCCCAGACCAGACACAGATCCCTCTGAGGTTGGGGTTGAAAGCAAGGCCGGGAATGAAAGCCTCCTGCAGATAGGCACCCAGCCTCTCAGCCCACTGTTATCGCTGACACCTTCTTGGTGATCTTTAGCACACCAAGGCTGGCTGACAAAAAAAATGAACAAAACCCAACAACAACAAAGGAGGCATTAAGCCAGTGAGGCCAACAGATTCAGACCAGAAAATTCCTATTGCAACATTTTTACTCCGCTGGATGGGGTGGTGGGGATAGGACCCCACACTCAACCTGGGGGGGGACTCCTAGTAGGGTCCTAAACTCTTCATAAACCCTCTGCCAGCAAAAATTGCATCAATAAATAAATCGAATTCCGCTTAGAGCTGGGTCTAAATCAAATGAGGACAGCTTCTCTGCCAGACTCTTGCTTCCAGCTTCAGGACATCTACTCCCAGCATCACCCCTAACTAGCTCAAGAGGTGAACAGGGGGAAAAAATCACAGGCTGAGACGGAGAAAAGATGCTGCGGCTGGAAGAGGGCCTTTTGGGGATCCTTCAGAGAAACATACCCTCTTCCCAGGCGGGAGTCCCCCATCGCTGCCCCGAGCCTCAGGGCTCAGGTTCGGGCTTTCCCCGCCCTTGCAGGGCAGGCTCGGCTCCTCCTAGCGCGGAAAGAGGGAGGGCCGGCTCTCCTCCCCATCTCCACCTTCCTGGGACCTGAGCAGCAGAAAGCGGCCACTCCGGGAGTGCGTGCGCAGGGCTTGGAGGGGCCGGAGGCCGCGCGACCCCATGGCCGGGGGCGTGGAACAGCGGCTGGGCAGCCTCACTGTCTTCACCTGCGACGACTTCGAGGGCGACTGGCGCCGAGTCGCCAACGGCGGATTCGGCCAGGTGTTTCAGGCGCGGCACAAGCGTTGGCGGACCGAGTATGCCATCAAATGCTCCCCCTGCCTCCTGCCAGACGCCACCAGGTACCTGCCCGCCCCGCCGCCCCTCTCCTTTTACAGAGGAAAAGCTGAGGGCAGGGAGCTCCCGAGGGAGGGGCCGTCGAGGTTGAGGCTGAGGATTGTCCAGTAAACCTGAGCTCCCCAGCCACAGCATTTCTGTTTCTGTGCCTGAAATACAGTCGGCACACCATAAGTGTTTGTGGGATCCACAGAGGTCACAGGTGAGCAGGAACTAACTTCCAAGGGCCTTTGTCCCAGCCAACTTCCCAAACTGGTCCTGCCTTTTTCTTTCCAGCACCGCCTTCCCTCTGGGCGGCAGGGTGGTGATGACTGCTCTTGGTGGCTCTTTGCCACCCTCATACTCACCCCTAAACTCTCAAGGCAAGCAGGGCTGAGGTGGTTGAGAAGCTGTGGCACTTGGCCCAGTGATGTTCACTGACCTATGGGAACCACCATCTCCTTTCCCATGACCATTTGAGGTGGCCCCTTCCTAGGCTGTGCAGGCTGGAGGAGTCTTGGGGGATGGAGACTGCCCAGCCTGCTGCCCTGAGATCCTGTCCAGGCTTCTTGCTGGCTCTCACATAGGTCCTGCTTGAAGGTCAAGCCTGGAATGCTGCAATCTCCGGCATTGTTTTTGTCTCTGACTTATCCTCCACCATCATCATGTGTACCCCTTTCTTACTGTTTTCGACCATCTCTGCCTTCCTTTTGAGATATTCTTCAGTCTCATCCTCACCAGATTTGCTGGTACTGGCTGTGTACTTGCCCCCTGTGCAGCCATGAAGGAGACATTTGGGATGTAAAGTCTGAGCATGATAACCATGTCCTCCTCACAAGGCTTCTGGGACTTCAACTTGAGAGTCTGGGAAGGAGCATCTCCTACTAGCATCTTATTTGGATGTTTTTTGTCATGTTCTCTGAGGATACTATGCAAACTCCCAAGACACAGCCTCATGTCCCCCATGCTTAAGCCAGTCCCTTCTCTAATTCCCAGATTGCCACCTGATTCATGAATAAGGGCAAAGTGAGATAGCCTCAGACTCACTCACCTTCCTCCCTCAACATTCTCCTTTTGCTTTTGAGTAGAGACAGATTGACAAGACTGTTAGACATTTACAATAACTTCTGCCACTTTCCCTTCCTAAGTCCTGGGGACTCCCTGGGTGGAAAGGGCTGAGGGATGTAATGGTAATTAATGCCTGCTATGTGTGGAGTACTATTCTAGGAGTTTTACATGTATTACTTCACTGGATCCTCCTTCCATCTCTTCATTCATTCATCTACTTGACAAATGTTTATTGCCTGTCTACTTTGTGTCAGGCACTGTGCTAGACCCTGAGGTATAACAATAAATGCAACAGATATGACCCTGTTCTCCTGGAGCTTACAGCCTGCTGGGGGGCGGGGGGGGGGACATAATCAGCTAATCCCACATATAAATGTGTGTTACTGTGAAAAGTATTACAAGAAAGGAAAGATTTATGGTTTTACGAGAGCTTATTAATAGAGCTTGACCAAGATCAGAAAAGGTGTTCTTGAGGAAATTACACTTGAGCTGAAATGTGAAAGATGAGTGTGAGTTAAGTAGGTTAAAAGGAGAAAACTTTCCTGGAAGAGGCAAGAGAATGTGTAAAGGGCTTATGGCAGGAGGGGTATACCAAGTAAAGAATGGAAAAAAGGCTGGTGTAGCAGAATTTTAGAGAGAGGGAGCAATGGAAAACTCTGAGGGGTTCACAACCAGATGAGGGGGGCTGGTGATAGGGAGAAATTGGTTAGAATTGCACTGTGGAGAACGGATGGGTAGGGTAGAGTGAATGCTGGTCCTGTTACTCAGTACTTAGGAGGTAAGAATCCACTCACCTTGGTGCTGGATTGGTTATGAGGGTCATGTTGAGGAGGTGAGTGTCGAGGTTAACTTGATGTCTGGCTTGCCCAAATGATCCAGGGGCCACTAGAATATCTATTCCGTGAGAGCAGAGTCTGTATCCGTTTTGTTCACTGCTTTAGTCCTAGTGCCTGGCACATAGGTGGTGCTCAGTAAATATTTGTTGAATGATATTGTTGACAATTAATAAATGGAATATGAAAAGAGGCCCAGGAGATGAAGATCATGAGTTAAGTTTTGTACATGTTGAGAAGAATTGTCAAATAGACTTCAGATTAAAGGACTGAGCTAACGACATTAAAATTTGTGACTCATTTGTTATATGTAATTGAAGCTAGGGCATGGATAACATTCATGTGAACAAAACAAAGTCTCTATGCATCAAGTGAACAAAATAAACTCTCTCCCTTCATGGAGTTTATAATCTAATGAAGAAACACAATAAATAAGTAAGTAGGTAAAAAAGTAAGCAAGTAAATAAATAAATATTTTTTTCTATAATGCTTACAACCACCTGATATACTCTTGATTAAAATACCTAAGGAGAGTTGGGTATTCTGATCTTCCAAGAACATGTTTGACCTGAAAATATTAATTTGTTGTTCATCTGTGTACGAGTAGATAAGGAATTCCAGAGTTGGAGTAGGGTTACTATTGTACATAGACTCTAAATCCTTACTAATTAGGTATCATTTGTGTAGAGATTGGAAGCACAGGAGGAGCAAGCCATGTGGCTCTTGGGGAGGAGTGTTCTAGGCAGAGAGAACAGAAAGTGCAAAGGTCCTGGGCTAGGAACACACTTGACATGGTAGAAGAGTGGCAAGAGGCCAATTTGGCAGGAACAGAGTTGGGGAGGGAGCGTTTAGTAGGAGATGAGGTCAGGGAGCCGTGCCCGGGGACAGATCATGTAGGGCTTTGTAGGCCATTGTAAGAACTTTGGTTTTTACTGTGACACAGGAGACACTGGAGGGTCCTTAACAGAGCAGTGACATGCTCTGACTGACATTTTACAAGTATCACTCTGGCTGCTGGGTTAAGAATAGATGGTGGAGAGGAAGGGAGAGAAGGAGAGAGGCCGATGAGAAAGCTTGGGCCAAGGTGCCAATGGATAGAGGTATTGAGAAATGGTCAGATTCTTGCTATATTTTAAAGATAGAACTGACAGGATGTGCTGAGGGACAGGCTGTGGGGAGAAGAGGCAGAGAGAGTTCAAGGATGACCTCAAGACCTTTGAGGACTAGAAGGATGGAGTCCCCATTGATTCAGATGAGGAAGGCCGGGGAGAAGCAGGTTTTAGGGGAGAATCAGGAATTCAGCTTTAGACACATCGAGTGTCAAATACCTGAGTGGAGATGCTGAGATGGCCTAGAGATAGAGTATTTAGACTGAGAAGATGGATGGAGAGGGCCTGGATAGAAGCGACAGGATAGAAGCCTACAAAGGACCCAGAGAAGAAATGACCTGAAAGAAAGGGAGAGATCCTGGAGAATGCTGGCACATAGCTGCGGTGAGTAAGTATTTTGAGAAAAAAAGGAGTGAGAGATCTGACCCGTACACTGAGAACTGAAAATTTTTCATAAGCTAGAACAACGTGGGGGTTGTTGGTAACCTTAGCAACAGCTGCTCAGTGAAGTACTGAGACCAGAAACCAGATGAAAGGGGGTGGTGGGAGATGAGGAAAAGAGAGAGACAACAGGCATAGCAAATGTTTCCAAAAAGTCTGGGTGTCAAGTGGAACTATGCAATTACTGTTGGTCCCATTTTACAGTTAGGAAACTGAGGCCCAGAGAAGTTACTTACCCGAGGTCATGCAGAGAAAGAGGTGAAACTGGGATCTGAAATCAGGACAAAACTCCTTCGGATCCCTTTCTTTTTCTTTTTTTCCACTTCATGACAGATGTCTCAGTTCCCGTCAACTCAAAAGGACATGAGGAGACGGATAAAAAATATCGCAGAGGTGGAAGGGAGCTCTCTGGAACAATAAAGAAGGAGAGAAGAGAACCTAGGCTAGCCAACCCGCCCAGATGCGAGGGAGAGCAGGTGACTTTTCCTGGAGGCCCGAAGTGTCTGGCTGGCTTCCCAGGGAGGCCCCTGTGAGCACATTTCCAGCAGCCTCTCGCTGCAGTGCCAACACAGCTTTGCAAATACTGTGCTTTTAAAAATGTCATTTCTCCACAGTCCCCAAACAATCTGTAACAATTTGCATATTTACTGTTCCGTGGGCACATACGGTGAAGAGAGCCAGAGGGTTTGCAAATGCTTATATTTCAAGGCCTTCCCTTAAGTCTTGACTTTTGTTCAATTCAACAAAGATGTATTGTGCCTCGCATGGTAATGTGCTGTGGGGCGTAGCAAGATGAATAATTATAGTTCATCCATAAAGTGGAATACCATGCAACTATTAACAGTCCTTGCTTAAGGAGAAAAGCAGTGTAAGGAAGTGCTCAGGCTACACTAACAGGGAAAAACAGATCATAAAACAGCCCACACTCCCACTCCGTGTGGTGGAAAGGGAGGGGAGGAAGGAGTGAACGGGAAGGAGAAAGGGAGATACTTTGGTTACGTATAGTAAAATAATATACTAAAATGTTAACAGAGGTCAGCTCTGGAAGATTAGATTACTGACGATTTAATTTTCTTCTTCATAGCTCTCTGTATTCCCTAGATTTCCTATGAGGTATATGTATTATTTTCATAATCAAATGACAATAAGTGATATTTTAAAACAGAAGCAGGAAGCATAATATCGGTCATCTAGGGCGGCAGTCACCAACCTTTTTGGCACCAAGGACCGGTGCTCCTATGAGAATCTGATGCCTGATGAGGCAGTGATGCTAGCGCTGGGGAGCGGCTGCAAATACAGATGAAGCTTCACTCGCTCCCCTGCCATTCACCTCATGCTGTGCGGCCTGGTTCCTAACAGGCCATGAACCAGTACCGGTCCATGGCCAGGGGGTTGGGGACCCCTGCTCTGCCATCTACTGGGAGAGATAAACATAGACAAGCAGCCAGAAAAAAGGGCAGGCTTTTTGTGTCCACTTTATGGAATGGACTTGCTCTTAAACTTGCAAACTTTTTTACCTCCTGTCTCATTGCTGCTGGCCATCTGGACCCTAATCTGTATGTACATCCTGCTGGGCATCCTTTCATGTCTCTCTTTCCTCCTCTATGACCTCACAAGCTCCCAAGGCTTCTCTAGGTCTCCACAGCCTGGCATTGAGCCTAGTTAGTGTGTTCTGCTAGTTGCTCTTGTAATTAATGGGTCACCTCCTTCCGCCTCTCACTCTCACCCACCCCTTCCATAGCTCCGATGTGAATTGCCTTATTGAAGAAGCAACCAAAATGGAGAAAATCAAATTTCAGCACATTGTATCCATCTACGGGGTGTGCAAGCAGCCCTTGGGCATTGTGATGGAGTTCATGGCCAATGGCTCCCTGGAGAAGATGCTGCCCACCCACAGCCTCAGCTGGCAGCTCAAGTTCCGCATCATCCATGAGACCAGCCTGGCCATGAACTTCCTCCATAGCATTAAGCCACCTTTGCTCCACCTGGACCTCAAGCCAGGCAACATCCTCCTGGACAGCAACATGCATGTCAAGGTAAAGTCCCTGGTCAACTTCTCTGCCCATTTTTTACTTTGGAGTCTCCCCCAGGTGAGCATCATTATCAACCTGCCTCACTGGCCTGTCAAGAGTTTTAAGCAGCTCCCTTCATGGACAAATACCGAAGGCAAGAATCACACCTCAAACAGAGGTAGATGAACAATGAAATTTGACTCTCAAAGCTGGGTATCAGGATGCCTGCAATAAGCCTCTTTGAACCTCGGTCTTTCATTTCTAATGCAGGTGGATTAATCCCTACCCCTCCCATCCTTTGCTTCCATTGAGGATGTGCGTAAATGAGATGATCCCTAAGAAATGTCATGATGGCCATTTTTTCAGTTCCCAAAACATGCCACACTCTTGTTCTGTCCCAGGACTTCTGCATGTTCTGTTCTCGCTGCCAGGAACAGTGATCTCCCATACTCTCTTTATCTACTCATCTTTCAGCTCTTGACATAAATATTACCTCCTCAGGGAGGTTTTCCCTGATCCACCTCACAGGCCCCTGTTGTATACCCTTGTACCCCTGTCTCTTTATATCGTTAACCCCAATTATAAGTATACAGTCTCATGTGAAACTTTCGATAGTAACTATACCCCTCATCTGAATAACACTTGGAACAGTAATGGGTGTGGGAGAGTCTCATCTTTTCTATCTTCTGCCTGGTTCTCAGTACCTAGCCTTGTTGGCATTTAGTGAATGGTCAGTTGGTATATGAATGAATCAATGGACAGAAGCCAAGAGCAGATAAATATCTATGGTGTAAATACTTCAGGGCCCGTGGAAGTGGGATGAGCAGAAGTTCACCAAAGACAGTAATTTTATCCTTAGTCCCTCTGGATGAAGGCAACACCTACCAAGTACTTACTATGTGCCAAGCATTAATCTAAGTGCTTTTTGCATATTTACTCTTTTAATAATGCTCATAATAGCATTATGAGTTAAGTACTCATTATTTCAGTTCTATAGATGAGGAAACTGAGACTCTGAGAGATAAGTAACTTGTCCAAGGTCAAGAGTTAGGAGAGAGCCCATGCTCTTAACCGCTACCCTGTACTAGAAAGGGGTGGGAAACCAAGGCAGTTTTCTGGAGGCAAGACTCTGTTGCCCCTGTCCCCGCCTCTCGCTTCCTCCCAGATTTCAGACTTTGGCCTTTCCAAGTGGATGGAACAGTCAACCCGGATGCAATACATCGAGAGGTCGGCTCTGCGGGGCACCCTCAGCTACATCCCCCCTGAGATGTTCCTGGAGAGTAACAAGGCCCCAGGACCCAAATATGATGTGTATAGGTGAGAGGGAGGCAGGCTGGGTTCCGTCTGTCCCCATACCTGGGAGGTAGCTCGTTGTCACCACCCTGCCTGGACCCCATGGCTCGAAGGACAGGGATGAGGTCTGGCCCCTCCCTGCCCCCATGGGAGGGGGAGGTATAGAGGGCCCTCTGGCTGGAGAGGCTTTGCCTGAGATTGTGTAGTCCATGGGGTCCCCCTGACCGGGTTACCAAGAAAGTCACTCAGGGAGCACTTTCCCCTGTCTGCAGCTTCGGGATTGTCATCTGGGAGATCCTCACACAGAAGAAACCATATTCAGGTAGCAGACAGCGGTGGGACCCTCAGATGGGGTCCTGAAAGGGGCTGTGGGAAAGCTAAGGGCTCATAGGGGCAGGACAAGTGGCAGGTTTGTCTTCTCTTCAGGGGTTCCCATCCACACCCTCCTCCCTTTCTCCCCCTGCTTTCTGGAGCTCGCTTTACAGTAAAAGGCAGGGCAGATGTCAGCCCAGACTTTCTGGCTCTAACTCCTCTGCTTTCAATGAGCTATTTTCTGTGTCTCCCTTGCTCGCCCCTGCCACTGAGAATGCCAGGTGCATGGACTGTCAGGAAACTGGGACAACCCAACAAAGTTGAAAGTCACGTGCATAACAAGGCCCATTGGTCAGCCCTGCTATCTTTGGACAGCAAAGGCCTGCAGGGTGGGGTCCTATCTGGTCTTGCCTTCGGAGGCAGCTGGAACTGGGCCAGAGACTCAGTTGCTCAAATTAGAACCTCAGGAGAGCCTGCCATTTAGCTGTTCGTTCACTATGCATTTATGGAGCCCCCGCACTGGATCCTCAGAGCCATACCTCCTGGCCAGCCCCTCTGCCCTCCTCCCCCGACACAGCCTGCTTTTCCTCTCACAGGCCTCAACATGATGGCCATCATCATCCGAGTGGGTACAGGCATGAGGCCCTCCCTGCAGTCTGTCTCTGATGAGTGGCCAGGCGAAGCCCAGCAGATGGTGGACCTGATGAGGCGCTGTTGGGACCAGGACCCCAAGAAAAGGCCCTGCTTTCCAGGTTCTCATCCAGCCTGACCTGCCCAGGGACCAAGGAGCAGAGTGGGGCCTGGGTGTGAAGGGGGCAGGAGAGAAGATGACAGAAACCCTAGCCACTCCTGAGGGCTCTGCAGAGAGAAGCCCTCGTGGCACTGGGGCAGGATCTGCGCCACTGTGTTGGCAGGGACAGCTGAGGACTGTGGTGGTCTGGAGTCTGGAGGCCGATGTGCACCCCTGTGGGAGGGGAGCAGGAGCCCTCATTGTTGGAAGGCAGCTGGGCCCGGCTCTGCTGCTTCTGAGCTCTCAGTTACTGCATTGCCCTCGCTTGTGAAAAGGTCTCATTCTGAGATCACAGGCACGGATGGACCTTGGGGGTACACATTCTTTTAGGGACTGTGAATACATGCATAGTATAAGTGTGAGCATCTTAGAGATCACCTAGTCTTTCCTCTCATTTTTATGGAGCGGGACTGACCTTCGGAGGCTCAGTGACTTGCCAAATGTGGTCCTGCTTAGCCAAGGCTGGGACCTACCTTTCCTGCCTCCTGGTGCACATGTATGGATGTGCGTGAGCCCTGGAATAGACTTTGGGGTAGGGGGACACAGGAAATGTAGGATACCTAAAATGGGGAAGAGGCCAGCCTGTTGCTTCTTTTCCCCTCTCTCTCCTTCATGGAGCAGACATCACAATCGAGACAGACATGCTGCTGTCCCTGCTCCAGAGTCCTGTGGCAGACCCTGAAAGTGAAGCCGTGGCCAGGAAGGTGTCCTACAAGCCATCCCTGCACCGGCCTCAGGAGGTGAGTGCAGCGCTGGGCATGGTCTCCGGCAGGCAGTGGGGATGCGTGCATAGGTGTGGCCTTCACAGGGCCATCTGGCTGAGGGGGCAAGAGAGAACTGAAAGCCAGCCCACACTCTGCTGGCCAAGGTAGCCCACCTGGTGGCATCTTTTCTTAATTTTCACAAAAGTGCCCTAAGGGCTAGTGGTGGCTGTGGCTAGGCCCCTGAGAAGGACATGCCTTCTCATAAATATGTGGGATGAAGCAGAGCTCCATCTTGCAAAGGGAGACCTTAGCTTTTCCAGGCTTTCAAACCGTGGGCATCAGCGCCATCATCCTGCTGTCCTGTGAGAACCAGCCATGGGTTAGTGTGGGGCTCCCAGCTGAATTCACAGAGCCATCCCCCGCTTTCCATGTGGCCCAAGGGGAAGTCAAGGCCCTGGGCCACCTCTTTCTGGCAGTCTTCCCTGCTCAGCATTTTTCTCTAGACATAGCTGGTGGTAGGGATGGCACAGGAGAGGGTGTTCGAGGACAGGGTGGGATATGAGTCCTAACAGGGATGGAAAGTACTGGAGAAAGGGAAGAAGTGGAGGACGGCACAGACCAGAACTGCCCCACTGGTTCACCTCCGCGTCTTCTGGTCTCCATCCCTAGGTCAGTGACAAGGTCAACGGGGAGCTAACAGACAGCGGTGAGTCCAGAGTGCCACAATTGGAACCAGATAGTCACAGCGGAGAAGGAAGTATAATCAAACCATACCCTTTCCCCGGACCCCGCCACCCACCTCCTCAGACCTGTCACAATCAGGAGTTGGTGTGTTCCTTTGCTGGCACCCGGCTTCATGTTCCAGAGATGCTCATGGTCTTCTGCTTCCTCTTCATGTCTGTGCTCCTTTAAGGCCAGTCCCCTCCCTTTCTTGCCCAGGAGGTAGAGCATTGGTTTATACCTGACCGCACATCAGAATTACTTGCGAAATGAAAAAAAATACTGATGCAGGGCCCACCCTAGACTAATTAAATCAGAATCTCTGGGGTTTTGGCCTAGCAGTGATTTTTGTGGTTTATTTATTTGTTTGTTTTAGCAATTGTTGCTTTTAAATCTAATAGGCCACTGGGTAGAGCAGGAGGAAGTGGGTCCTAATGGCCTCAGAAGGATTCAGGTCATTAGAGCTCTTCCACAAATTTATTTTCAGCTTACTTTCACTTACTTTGTGCCAGATACTCCTCTGAAAGTTCCTACCTGCATGATTTGTCCTCTCAGTGGTACAGTGAGGTGGGCATTGTTTGTGTCCCCTTTACGGATTGGGACCTGGAGGCTCAAGAGACAGAGTTGGCTAAAGTCACATGATGCTAAGGGATGAGTCAGGATTTGAACCAAGGTCTCTTTCTGCCTCATCCTTATGGAAAGAATGGCCAGACTCAGTTCTCTGGGACAGGGTAGCCTGCCTAGAGATCTGGGATTATCAGGAAAGACACTTCTATAGTTTCTGTTCCTGGTTGATACTTCTAGGATGTAGAGGGATGGCTGACACAACCTCTAGACGGGTCAGAGGTCCTTTTTTCAACCCCATCTCTCTCCCAGCAGACTCAGGAGACTACTTGAAGCGGGTTCTGCAGCTCTCAGACAGTGAGAGCCTGGTCCCAAGCGATGAGGAGCTGCATGTCTACGAGAACAAGGTCACTCCCCTTCACTTCCTGGTGGCACAGGGCAGCGTGGAGCAGGTGAGGTTGCTGCTGGCCCATGAGGTTGATGTGGACTGCCAGACAGCCTGTGGCTACACGCCCCTCCTCATTGCCGCCCAGGACCAGCAGCCCGACCTCTGTGCCCTGCTTCTGGAGCACGGCGCTGACGCCAACCTGGCAGACGAGGACGGCTGGGCCCCACTGCACTTTGCAGCCCAAAATGGGGACGACCGCACCGCCCGCCTGCTCCTGGACCATGGGGCCCACGTGGATGCCCAGGAGCACGAGGCATGGACCCCACTCCACCTGGCTGCACAGAACAACTTTGAGAATGTGGCACGGCTTCTGGTATCCCGTCAAGCTGACCCCAACCTGCGTGAGGCCGAAGGCAAGACCCCTCTCCATGTGGCCGCCTATTTTGGCCATGTCAGCTTAGTCAAGCTGCTGATAGGCCAGGGGGCAGAGTTAGATGCTCAGCAGAGAAACCTGAGGACACCCCTGCACCTGGCTGTGGAGCGAGGCAAAGTGAGGGCCATCCAACACCTGCTGAAAAGTGGGGCAGCTCCCGATGCCCTTGACCAGAATGGCTACAGCCCTCTGCACACCGCAGCTGCCTGGGGCAGATATCTTATCTGCAAGATGCTGCTCAGGTATGGGGCTAGCCTTGAGCTGCCGACCCAGCAGGGTTGGACACCGCTGCATCTAGCAGCCTACAAGGGCCACCTGGAGATCATCCGCCTGCTGGCTGAGAGCCACGCAGACTTAGGGGCTCCTGGAGGCAAGAACTGGACCCCTCTGCACCTGGCTGCCCGCCATGGGGAGGAGGTGGTGGTGGCAGCACTTCTGCAATGTGGAGCTGACCCCAATGCTGCAGAGCAGTCAGGCTGGACTCCCCTCCACTTAGCGGTCCAGAGGGGTGCCTTCCTGAGCGTCATCAACCTCTTGGAGCACCGTGCAGATGTCCATGTCCGCAACAAGGTGGGCTGGACACCTGCACATCTGGCAGCCCTCAAGGGCAACATGGCCATCCTCAAAGTGCTGGTCAAAGCAGGTGCCCAGCTGGATATCCAGGATGGAATGGGCTGTACACCCCTGCAGCTGGCCCTCCGGAGCCAAAAGGAGAGCATTGTCACCTTCCTAGAGGGCAAGGAGACTTCACTGACCATTCTGGGCAGTACTGAGCCTGGAGACCAGACAGAAGTATAGACAGCCTAGGGTCTCCATACCATAAGGAAGAGGGGTTGGTGGAAGTGAAGCTGAGCTTCTGGCAGGGCCCTTTTTCTATACCTGCCACCTGCCCCTCCAACCTTGAGAGGAAACAGGAACCTGGTCCTTTGGGTGATGGAGGGACGGGGAGAGGTACACTGAGGTTGTAGCTGGAGAAAGCCCCTTGGAGAGCTCCTTTGAGCACCTCTTCCTGTGTCTCTGGCAGACCCCTGGCTTCCTCCTCCCCCTACACCTGGACTCAGGCTCCAAAGTAAATTGCCTCTTCATTCTCGAGACTTCTGCCACCTTTTGCCACTTGCCCTTGGGCTCACAGGGGCCCTCGCATCTTAGGAACCCTCTCTGAAGACAGAGGAAGGCATAAAAGAGACAGAAGTGCTCCCTCCCAGTTCAGGTCTATGTGACTTGGCCCCTTACCTGGTGAAGGCCAGGAGACCAGACATCCATGCTTTGTACAAAGGACAGGAGCTAAAAGTCCAGAGGAAATTCTGCTTATCATTGAAAGCCCCAAGCAGCCCCTTGTTGCTACACTGACCACACCTTCCTGGCGGCCCTGGTCCCAGAGCCTGGGCCTGTCACACAGTCTCTTGGAGGTGAAGGAAGGGTGTGCTCCAGCTGCCCATTAGCGATCCTATGTGGGACACTATGTCCCTGGTCTCCCTGCTGCACCCTTCACTGTGTCCAGTTATAGGGCCAGGTTCAAACCCCGAAGTCAATAAAGCTTTCTATCTGTGTCTCCCCTTTAGAGATGGACTAGCCTGTGGAACAAGGTTGTATATAGGGGCCAGTAGTGTTAGTATGGGGGATGTGTGTGTGTGTCTGTGTGTGTGCGCTCACGCGCTGTGTAACGTGTGTGAATTCACACAAAGGGAGGAGGCAGCAGACTGAGGCGGGCAGTAGGAGCGGGTGGTGAGGGTGAGGAAGAGGTTGTCTGGGCTCCGTGTGGAGCTCACAGGGCGAGGCCTGTCCTCTCCAGCAGTGGCTCAGGCCACCCATCGGCTGGCCTGTCCTGGCCTGTCCTGCTGGTTGTACGGCAGGTTGAGACAGGGCTGTGGCTGCTCACACTAATCTTGTGTGACCCGGCCATGGCCCAGCAGCACCTGTTTCCTCTCTGGCTCTGGCAGGGTTGGCAGCCATTGGAAGGGGGTGGGCCAGGACTGGACTGCAGCTGGGGGCAAGATGGATAACTTCAGGGTCCTATCCTGTTTCTCTCTGCCTTTCCACACTGCTGGAGCGGCCCCTCCGACTCAAAGATGTTTTGTCATTGTCAGAGAAAAGGAATCTTCCGCCCCAACTAATGGCCATCTCCAACCCCCAGCCAGCTGACAGGCCCGCCTTTATGTGTCACTCTCCTGGGTTGGGCATGGGACACCAGTCAGCAGCCTCATCTCAGTGTGGGATGAAAGAGGCAGAACAGAGGACACATGTTGCCCCATGTACATGCCGAGTGCATGAGTCCTTTTTAGCAAAGCTGGCAGCCTTGTGTCTCTCATCCTGTGATCTCTGGACTATGATGCCAGCCTCGTGGGCCCTGGACACTTCACCTCACCATGTCACAGCCTGTGGCCACCACAGAGAGCTCTGAGAACAGCACTGAGCTGGGTCGTGCCCTAGGATAGCAACTATAAATCAAACTTGCATATTATAATCTCCTGGGTGACGTGTGTGTGTGTGTGTGTGTGTGTGTGTGTGTGTGTGTGTGTGTGTGTGTGTTGGGAAGGAGGGGCTTATTAAATACCAGGCCCTACCCTTGACCAATTAAACAGGCACCTCCAGGGTAGCAACCTGGTGTTAGCTGATGTTAGCTGGAGAGCAGCCAGGGCTGAGAACAACCACCAGGGGGCATGCTGTGGTGTCTCTCCGTGCCCTTCCTTAGCGTAGCCCTGGAGACAGTCACTGGCCAGCAACCCTGGGTGGTGGCCTTTTTCATTCCTGGTTGGATGAGTGGAGATGCCTGAGGACTGTGGCACAGCAGACTGTCTCATCCTTCTACTTCCTGCGAGCAGTCTAGCCCATTCTCCTTTTTCTCCCTGAAACTAAGCCTTAGGCAAGACTTGTGGTTAAAAATGCTCCTGGGAGTTTTGTCTTTCTCAGAGCATGCTGGAACAGAAGAGGGAAGGGGAGGTGGCACAGTGCTGTTTGCTTTTTGCATCCTGAGGTCTGAGTTTGGCTGCAAGTCTAAGATTCTGCAAGAGCCAGAGAAGGAGGGTGGGTTACGTGCCTATAGCCAGGTGAGCTCAGGTCAACATGGGAATGGTCAAGAGTGAACCTCAGGGGACACTGCCGTCTGGCTTATTCTATTGGAAAGAGTTTGAGGAAAGACCTTGAAGAAAAGAGTTAGAAAAGATAAATGATCCTTTTGCACCGATTGTCCTATAAATGGCAGGGATCTCATGGAGAGGCGGACAGGACTAGCCCCAGGAATCATTTCAACTCTGAGGATCCCAGAGTCCAGGCTGAGATCCTAAGACCCCCTGCTTCCTTCCTTCCTTCCTTCCTTCCTTCCTTCCTTCCTTCCTTCCTTCCTTCCTTCCTTCAAGAGATCACTGAGGTAGGGATCTCAGGCCCGCTCTGGCCAACACGGCTCCTTCATTGCCTACCAGCACTTTCTTCTCCCTTTTCAAGCCACCCCTTTCCAGACACAGACCCAAGCAGACACACAGCATCCACCTTAAGTCCTATTTCAACACAGCTGCCTTCTGGCAGTTTCCTGGGGATGTTTAGAATTGGATTTTAGTGAGGCCCTCAAAGTTCCCAAGGAGAGGGTGTCTGGTTAAATTTCAATCACTGTTTAGGGGAGATGGGTAGAGGAGGATAGGAACTCCTCAGTTTCCTACTGGGCACTTCCACTTGGGGGTCCTATTGACTATTTAAACTCAATGTGTCCTAAATCGAGCACTCCCTTCCCCTCCACAAGCCTGCTCCTCACTCTTTCTCCCTCATTTTAGTTGAAGGTACCCATACTCTTAACCTAGGAGTCATTCTAGTACAGCCTGCTCAACAGAACTTTCTGGGAAGATGGAAACTTCCTGTATCTGAAGTCTTCAAGAGGATAGCTGCCAGGTCCATGTGCCACTGAACACTTGAAATGTGGCTGGTGCATCCAAGGAACCCAGATTTTAATTTCAATGAGTTAAATTTAAGCAGCCACATGTGGCTGGTGGGCAGTGCGGTCTATACTCCTCAAGATCCAACTTGCCTGTCTCTGCCCGCGATGCCTTCTCTGACCGCCCGACTGGAGATGGTCACTCTGTTCCAACACCCACTGCGGTGAGGCTCCTAGAGCACCTGCCTCACTTAGGGTGAGGCTCCTCGATGTCTTCGCTTATTTCTGCATTCCACATAGTTCTCTCCCAGTTCACCCTCCAGGCTTGCTGACCTGCATTATGGCAGCAGAGTAGCAGGGTTGTTACTGTAATATAAGAGACAGAAGGAGCTGGGCTGAGGCAGGGGAGGGAAGCTCCGGGGGCTGGGTAGTGGAAAGACCACAGGCTTTGAAACCAGGCCGACTTGGGTGCAAATCCTGCTGCGTCATCCACTAGTGTGTGACCTCAGGTTGCCGAAACCTTTTTAGCCTCGGCTGCATCATCCCATAGCCATAATGCTTATCTCACTGGCTGGTGGTAATAATTGAATCAGATGCCTTGTGGGTCAAGGAACAAAGCAGTAGGTAAGCACCCAATACAAAGTTTCCTGCAGTTTCTCCCAAGTCAGAGAAATTTTTCTCTTGGAAGAGGGCACAGATAAGCCAGCCTTTTGGGAGCCTTTTGATGGGATGCTCATAGAAGCCACTGCCTATTTTTCTTTGCTGGCCTATCCAGGGAGGAAGGGGTGGCTCCTGCGGTGCCTCGGTATGGGCCGTGACACTGATACCTCTTGAAACATGCCTAAAGTAGTGTCAGGTCAGCTACAGGGCAGGAACAAGCCTCATGGGTGGGTTGTGCCCACTGATGTGCAGCTGCGATGACCATCCACAGATTGGATTACTCCGAGCCCCAAGAGCCAGACAGTGGGATCAGTGTCAGCAAAGCAAGGTGGCTCTGTCTGCATCCACCGGGCGAGGGAGGAGGGAGGGAAGGTTCCAAGGCTGCCGTTAGACCCTACTCTGCCTTCGGACATGCAAAGGCAGTGTAAGTCCTCAGCCTGCACGGAAAGAAGGGCAGGAGGATGAATATAGCAGCTGTGAGGGGCAGGGGGGTGGAGCAGAGGGAGGCCGGGGAGAAGGGTGGGCACCTGAGGTTGGGCGGGGAGCAGGTTAGCCGGGGGCAGGCCCTTGCTGTAGGCTTTCTGGGCTCTGGATCGCAGAGCAGCACCTTCTGTGGGGAGAACTAGACCATGGAACTTGTCTCCTCAGGTCATTTCCTTCCTCTCTTGCCCGCTCCAGCCTTTCCCTGCCCTGATCACAGAGCAGAGCCTGGCCTCCACGGACTATTCCCTCGTGGGGCAAACAAAAAGTGTTTAGAGTTAGGCCTGGTCAGGAAAACCCAGCATATGTGCATGTCAGAGCTTTGTTCCTGCAAAGTCCCCAGCTCCTTTCTATGCCCCAAGTGGTGCCACTTCTCTCCCTTGCTTGACCCCCATCCTTCATTTTACCCACAGCATCTGCCCCGGAGGTGCCAAGGAGGCCGCCTCCTTTGCTCCAGCTTCACATACATTTCCAAGTCTCAGGACAGAAGCCAAGGGTGAAGTTGAAAGAAAGTGCAAGCAAGTACAATGGTCCTGTAGCATTTCCTATGGCCTGGGAGCTGTCACAGCTCCAACCATCAGTAAAAGGCCTCTTCAGATGCCCTCCAGGCCGGGCCTTCTGCCCAGCAGTTCTCGTGCTGCTTTATTTGCCAAGCAGTAGAAGTGAGATAGAAGAGGGAAGGGGTAAGCTGTTCTCACCAGATACCCTCTTCTCCCTGCTCCTCAGAACCCCACAAGCCAGGGTAGGTCTCCCCCTCCAAAGAGGGGTCTGCTCTCTCCCTGCCAGCTTCCTGCTTCCCCAGAACCCCCTCCCCCAGAACCAGAGCCAAGGGCAGCTAGCTGGCAGGAGACACTCAGGCATAGGATGCCCAGACTCTGTCCTCCTATTACTGAAACCCCACTAAAAACAGCACCCCCTGTCCTGTCTCCCACCTCCCCTCACCCCCAACACACACACATGCTCATTTGCTCTAGCGGCCAAAATAGTTGTCAGGCTATTCACAGGCACGCTAAGGGCGGCATCGTAGAAGTCTAGTTCCAAATGTTTTTTTCTTTCTCTCTGTCTCTTTTTGAAAATCTCTGACCATATTAGCCTTTTCAAATTTTGCTCAGGGCTGGTCAGAAAACAAATGGAATGGATAACATAAGATATGCAGTCAGAAGACCTGGGTTCAAGGCCAGCCCTGCCACCTCCAACCACCCTCTGTGTTAGAGAGGCTTCTCTTCTATAGCAGGGGGTCAGATGGACTGACCTCTGAGGTTATGAGGAGGATAGGAGATCACACGGGGCAAGGCCCATGATGGCCCTGCAGAGATGGGAGCTAAGCCACAGACACAGCCTGGGTCCTGGGGTGGGAGGGCAAGGGAGGTGGTGGGGCACAGGACTGGGCCATGCATCCCCAGGATAGGGGTAGTGTAGGACGGAATCCCAGATAGGTGGGCACCAGAAATGCCCCTAAGGCAGGCCAGTCCTCACTGTCCCTTGTAGGCAACTGACTGCCCCTGTTCTGAGGCCAGCAGGAAAGCAGGATCGGCAGTCCCTCGTTTCGGGGACTTCCTGCCCTGCCATTCAGGAAGTCCTCTGAGCAGTCTGCTTGACCTCACCAATCCCCTACCTACTTGTTCCAGGCCAAGGCGCTCCAGGGCTGCTGCATCCCACTCGTCGCCGTCATCTGGGTAAATGGTGCCACGGAGCTGGGCAGAGTATGTCCGTGGCGGGGTCGTCTCCACACCCAGCCAGGGCTCTGCCATGGGGGATGTGGAGCTTTTACAGCTATCGTGTGATTATTGGATTAATAATCCAATAATTGTCTGTCAAACTGAGAATCAGTGAAGGCAGGGATGGTGTCTACCTTCTTCACCATCTTATTCCCAGCACCTTGCTCAGGGCCTGGAGCACGATAGTCGCTCAATAAATATTCACTAAGACAATGGCTGGGTGCGTGAAGTAACAGTTTCTCCTGCATTACACGCCTTCTCAATTCCCAGGATACATCCTCAGCCCATGGCCACCTGGGACTCCTCCAGAACCCCCTAGGGGAAGAATAAGGGCCTGAAGCTGTGAAATCTTGTAGTTACATGCAGGACATCTGAGAGGACATATGCAAAGTGCCCAGCTGTGCCTGACCAGAAAGGCTCGCTCCTTAAGTGGTGCTTCCTTGCTGTACTCTGAAAGGGGGTGAGGGGAAGACTCCACATGCTACATAGGTATATGAATGATCCTTTGATTAAAAGGCATTCTACAAGAGAGACAGGGAAAAGGAGAGAAAAGAGAAAATCAGAGGGTGGTAGCCTGCCCAGCCTCCGGCTCCCTCTCTCTGCCTTCCCTGTCAAGGCACAGGGGCCACCGTCAGGCCCTCTTGGGAAAGAGCCAGAGCCTGGGCCGCCCCCTTCCACCTTGTTCCTGGGCCCCGCACCCATTCCTTTGCCCCTGAAGTACTGAGGGGGGAAGAGGGTGGAGCCCAGCCCTCCCCCTGCCCACTCTAGCTGTCAATCTGCTGTCTGGCAGAAAGACTTCAAGCTTCATGACAGCTGTGGGCAACTTTCCCCAGCCCCGCCTCCCGCCCATGCCTGCCCTCTTCCCCTCTTCTCCCTGCCAGAGCCCTTCCCAAACTGCTCTGAGTTCGCCTTCTCTTCCTCCCTCTCTCGCTCCTTTCCTCCTTTCTTCTTTCCCTTCTCTTTTCTTCTCTCTCTTCCTTTGTCATCCCTTCCAATTTCCCATACCTGATCAACCCGTGTGACCTCATAAGATTTCCAACGATGATGTGAGCTTTTAAGCTCCCACCCAGGTCAAGATCTTTCATAGACTGAATGTGGTGTGTTGTTGTGTGGTGTGGTGTGGTGTGGTGTGGTGTGGTGTGGTGTGGTGTGGGGGTGGGTGCGTGTGTGTGTGTGTGTGTGTGTGTGTTAGCTATGGCATGGGTATCGGCAGCTCAGAAGTATCTGGGGTTGCTAGCTCCCTTGAGGGTCTGGTGTCTTCCTCAGAAGGTGATCACTGGGTTATTGACCCTCCGAAACTAGACGAGTGGCCTGTTTTGCCCACCGTCTGGAATCCAGGTGCTCCTGGGGACAGGAGCCTCTCCTGGGGCTCAGGGCTACATTCAGTTTCAGGGAGAAGATCAAAGTCCATAATTAAGTGTTCAGGGCAAGTTAAGTGCTCCAAACTTTGGTGCTAAAAATATTGTATTTAGTATGCAAATTATGCCCTGACATCTCCCCAGAGCCTGAGCCCGTGGGTGCCGGGACCTTGTTTGTCATCACTGCTGTTATTCTCAAGGCAGTAAGAACATTCCTCCTTCACTGGGTTGATTTATATTTCACTTTTAAAGAGCCAAATTTCTGTTGTTGGGTCAGTGCCAAGTCGTGGCCCCAGAAGGCTGGGAGCTGTGACTGTCCCGGAGGCTGAGAGGAGGGTGGACAATCCGGACCACATCCTGCAGGGCCTCCCTGCCTCCCCAACCTGCCCTAGAGGAAGGGGATCCTGAATGGTGCAGAAGACAGGGCAAGGGGCAGACACAGACACAGCATGGCCGGCACCTGTAAGGCCACCTTCTCCATGCAGCCTTCTCTGCCCTGGGAGGCAAGGGCTAAGGACTGGTCCTTCAGAGGTGCCGGGACCTGGAGAGGAGGAGGTGGGAACAGGGACAGCCTGGCTTCCCTCTGGTGGCCCCTGCTGCTCTGGCGATCAGCAGAACCCTGGGTAAGCATGGGATTCCCATTGGAAATGTTCTCCCTTCCTTCTTAGTTGACAGCTGAGGGTCAGGGCCCACCCAATAGCAGAACTGAGAATGGTCAAGGCAGCTCGAGAGGAGGAGACAGAGGATGGGGAAGAGGGGAGAAACACATAGGCACGCACATCTTCTTGGTCCTCCCGGAGCAGCTTCTTTCCTCCTTGCCCCCAAAGTCCTGCCCACTCTGATGGGTGTGGCCAGGGTTGCCCCTTTCAGGAGGGTCTGCAGAAGGCCTCTCCAACTCCATCCCCAGCACAGACAGAGGGCTGTGCTGCAGAGGACGAAGGCGGCACTGCACCCTTCCACCCGCGGGATTTCAGATGCGACTCTTGTCAAAGTTTTATTAGTTTGGAGCGTGTGTAGTGATGTTACAGAGTCTGGGGCCCGGGGACTCCCCCAAGCTGCAGCTTCCCCTCCTCCCTCAGGGCAGGGCCAGGCCAAGTGGTACTCAGCAGCCTCTTAGCCACGGGCTCCTCTAAGGCGGAGGCAGTGGAAGGGAAGGGGAAGGGGAAAGAGAAGAGGCAAGAGAAAGAGAAAAGGAAAATGGTTTTGCGGCATAGTGTGGCAGGAGGCAGCCCCCCCAAGAACCTCGAACACCCCAACCCAGGCCCCAGACATAGTCACAAGCCGCCTTCCCCACCTGTTTCCAGGCTGGCCTGACATATGCTAAGAGAAGGGGTATATACGAGTCCGTCAGGAGGCAGCAGAGTGGACTTAGGGGTGGGGTTCCTCTCCCCACAGATCCTCCTGAGGCCCCTCCCTCAGGGTGGAGCAGGTCGGGACTCACTGCTATGGGGAGTAGAGGCTCCTGTTGGGCAGGAGAGGGAGCAGAGATATTTGGCTTGGGCTTCCCTGGGGTTCATCCTGTGGTCTGGTATTTACATGGGTCTCCCTAGACTCAAGTTACCTGGGGCCTTGGCAAGAGCTCTGGCTTCCCTGGTCTGGGCTTTATGGGCTGTGAACTGTCCATTCCCCACTCCCCGCCCCTGCTCACTCCTCCAGTACAAACCTGTGAAGACCAGGCCAAGCCCAACAGAGGTCACAGCCTCTGAGCCCTGACTCTGGCCCCAGCAACCCCAGAGGCCCCAGAAAAAGGTCAGCGAAGGCGATTGCGTCTTTGGTGCCAAGGAGAGGAGGCCTGGAAGTGGGATGGGGGCTCTGTGAGCTGCCCTGAGCCACAGGGTCCAGCCCAAGGGCTGACGCCGTGCCTGACTCTCTACACTACCCCGGCAGAGAGAGAGTGTGCGGGCAGTGAGGGGCGTGGTGCCAAGCTAACACTGCAGGGCCCGCCGGGCAAAGGGAAGGCCGAGTCCACCCAGCGCCCTCCTGCCCACGGATCTCAGGGACTGAGGCCGGGCTGGCCTGGGCAGGGAGGCAGGCAGCAGGCTGCTGTGAGGGTGGGCAGCAGGGTCAGCAGTGGAGGATCTTCATGAAGGCCTTGCGGAACTCGATGTTGAAGGTCGTGTAGATGATGGGGTTCACGGCGCTGTTGACATAACCCAGCCACGTGAAGGCGCTGTACAGGACAGGCGGGATGTTGCAATCACAGTGAATGTTCAGGATGTGCGTGATGAAGAAGGGCAGCCAGCAGATGATGAACACGCCTGGCAGAGAGGGTGGCAGTCAGGCTGGCCTTGGGCCAGGGAGAAGCTGGACTGGGAAGGCACCCGGACTGTGAGCTGCAGACCCTGGCCCAAGCTTTGGAATATACGCTCTCAGCCAGACTGACATCTGTCCCACCCACTCTGCCGCACTCAGAGCTACCAGCTAGGGCAGGACCCTTGGTATGGAGGTATTGTGTGCACGGAGTGGCCCACCGGGGGTCCCTGGGGATAGAGAGGTGCCCAGGAAGGGCAGGGCCACACAACAGAGAGAGACCCTGAGGACTGGAGCAGAGAGCCTGGCTTGATCCCTGCTCCGTCACTCCCGGCCAAATGATCAGTAGTCTGTCCCTTAGCCTGCTGCGACAGTGTGCTCTCATTTGTAAAACGAAGATAATTATACCTGCGCCACTCACAGCACAGGACAGTCGAGAGGTAAAAGGGATGGCAGGTGAGGAGAGTGTCACACACTACTACCCTGGGCACCTCATGGGAGACAGGGTCACATCAGTCCCTCCTGTTCCCAACCACTCATAGCAGTTCAGCTCTTGATTTTTGACTTTTTATCTGGTTTTCCGGGTAATTTTATTGGAAAGCCTTGCCTTGCTGCCAAGATCAGTCCCCCTCCCGCAGCTCTGTTTTTATTATTCACAAGGTCTTGGTTGAGCTCGAGTGAACTGAATTTCTCAATTCCTCAACAATAATAATATTAACGAAGACCATAACGACAACACTCACCTGCGTGTTTAGCAGTTTATAAAATGCCTTCACCACCATCTATCATTTGGTGACCACAACCACCCTGAGTAGTAGCTTTTACTCCTCTGATGGCACTAAAGAGAGAAAGGGACTTGCCCACGGTTATGAGGCTCTGGGGGGTCATTATGGTAGACTGGTCAGGTCACAGATTCTGGAGTCAGACTGCCTGAGTTTAAATCATGGGTGCTCCGTGGTCAAGTTATAGGACGACTCTAAACCCCAGCTGCCCCATCTGTAAACTAAGCATAATTATAGGATCTACCTAATAGCGTGCATCAATGGGCTTGACCTGGGCCTGAGAAAGTGCCGGTCTCGTGACCCACCAGCTACGGTTAAGAAGGGGGTGGCAGGTAATGGAACCTGCAGTGATGGGTCCTTCCCTCAGCCAGGATCGGACAGAGCTGGGCTGTGGCCAGCAGCCAGGGCCGACTCACCGAGGACGATGGCGAGCATCTGGGTGGCTTTCTTCTCCTTCTGCTGAGAGAGCTTCCTGCGGCTCAGGGTCTTGAGCGAGGTCCGAGTTTTGCCATTGGGCATGGACTGGATCTCAAAGATCTTGGCAATCTTGGGGTGGTCTTTGGCATGCCCATTCTTCTCGGGTTTGGCGGGGCTGTCGGGAGTGCTGTGGAGGCCATGGTGGGACGGGTCGGGGAGGGTCAGCTGGTGGTGGCTAGGTGGGATGGGGCTGTACCGGGTCCTCTCAGGTGGGCTGGTGCTGGAGAGCATCTCCATCTCTAGCTCCTGGGCTCGGCGGGCAGCCTCCTGCATGAGGAAGAGAGCTCTGGGTAAAGCCAGTCAAGTTCTCAGGCATCAGGCACCCAGCCTCACTTGGCCTATCTGGCCACACCCAGCCCTTCCCTATCCCCCTCTTCAGACTCCAGAAAATGCCATAGGTCACTATGCCAGAGAGGCAAGGAGGATGATCACTGGGAGGCAGGGACTGGCTGGATATAGGACCCAGGACCCATGGCAGTCCCTGCCTGCAGGGTCATCCCAGGCCCCCTTCCCAGAGCAATCCTTCAGCAGCCTCAGTAATCCCACAACCATTTTGTGGGGGCTTACTGCCCAAGCACTTCTCTTTTATTAACTGAGTAACATTTATAGAGTGCCAGGCACCAAGCTGGCTGCTGGGGATAACTTACTGATTGACATTCAGTGCCTGATTGATGTTCAGTGCCTGCCTCCAGGAGCTCATGCTCTAACTGCATAGAGGGCACCCCTGTTCTTCCTGCCAAGCTAACCCTGCACTCACATGTGGGTTCCATTTCTCCTAGTAGACTGATCCAGGTGCCAAATGTCCCTTGGTCCCCACATTTGCACGCATGGCCCTCCCATGTTCTCCCCTCGATGCTCCTGTTCCAGGCCTGAGCTGCCGAAGTGCAGCCTCACCATATGCCCAGGTGATATAACTGGGATGCTACTTCAGTCCCAATCCTGAGTCCCTGCTTTGGCACCTATCTCAAAAACAACTCTTTGAGTCCTGCTCGTGCTGTGCAGGTGAACGGTGAGAACCCTGTTTCTTGAGGACACCTGAGCTGGAGTTCACGAGTGGCCCTGGGGGGGTTCCCTGGCCCTCCCAGGGGATGGGACACCTGCTGCCTGGACCCTGATGCTACTACCACTGGGTAAAGCCGAGGGTCTGCTGTGCTTCTGCATCTCTGGGCTCTACACAGAGGCTGCGCTTAACTGCCGGCCCTGCGGCTGCTCTGCTCCCTCCGCTCCCGGCACCCAGCCTCCAGCCCCTGAACCTGCCTGTGGTAAGGCAGCACATGGAAAGCACGGCAGAGACGTGGATTTCAGAGTCGCATAAGTTTAGGCTCACTGACGAACTGTTTAGCCTTAGATAAGTTGCCCAACCTCTCCGAGCCTCTGTTTCCTCTTCTGTAAAGTGAAGATCGGTAAGACTTACCTCCCAGGGTTGCTCTTAGGATTTGATGAGAAAATATGAACACTGGAGGCATTTAATTAATGGTAATAGCCATTCTAATTATTTTTATCATGTTATTATAGCCAAGTCCTTTCTCCCAACCATTTTCTTGTACTAGGGGTGGCTCGCTGTGTCTTGCGGAATCAAGCTGCCTGGCTCCATGCCTGTTGTGAGCTGTGCATGCTGAGTCTGGCCTCAGCTGAGGCAAAGTGGGGATCCCAGGATGTGCTTCTCCCTTCGACCAGCCAACGAGGTCTCTGAGAATCATGGCAGGTGGGTTTCCCTAGGGGCAGAAAGACCTGGCTCTGTATCCCTGGCCTGAACACTTACCACTCTCCGCCTGTTCACTGGGAAACTGCCATTAGACTTCATGATAACGGTGCAGAGTTTCATGTCCTCAGGGTGAGTGCAGCTGCCCTGTGGAGGGAGCCAGCACACTGGTCACAATGGGGAGTAGAGTGGGGACAGGAACCAAGTGTGGGGTAGTCAGGTTGGACATAGGGTCTCAGAGAGGGCAGAGAATAGGAGGGCGGGGGCCTGAGGAGGCAATCACAGCAAAGGAGGTCAGTACTGTGATGAGAATAGGTAGGCAGGACGAGGGCCAAAAGGGCCCTGACTTTTATGGAGCACTTGCTAAGCGTCTGGCACCATGCCAGGCATGCTCACATCCCTCTCACATAGAATCCTCGAGACCACCCTATGAGGTCGGTATTATTATTCCCATTTAGCAAATGAGAAAACTGAGGCTCAGAGAAGTTAAGCAAGTTGTCCAAAGTCACTCAGCAAAAAGTGGCGGTGGTAGGATTTGAACCCGCTGTGTCTTACCCCAAAGCTCTTGTTCTTTCTGCGCCCACATACTGTCTTCCTCAGGGGAAACTAAGCACAGCGGAGAATTCATAAGACATGAGGGGGGTGATGAAAGAAGCGCAGAGGAGGGAAGTAGGAAGGAGGAGGTGTGCACAGAGGGGAGGACGGAGCGTGTGAGCGGTAAAGGAGACGGGATGGAGGCATCAGTGGGAGGGAAAGGGGGACAGAGGGGCCAGAGTGAGGAAAAGAAAGGCGAGATGCCCAGAAGGGTGCCACAGACCGCTGCATTCAGACGAAGATCTCCAAGCAAAGACTCCTCCTCCCAGGTCTTCTCCACCACCGTCCCCACCCCCCACTCCTGGAGATCTGAATCGCTCCCCTGAGGTCCAGGCCTTCGGAACCTGCCCTTCCCCGCTCCTCTGAGCTCCCCCAGCCTGGACCCCCTCCTGCTGTGGTGTCCCAGACTCCCACTGAGCATAGGATGAGTCCCCCTAGTATGGTTAGGTGGGGACACTGGACGGGAGGGGCATCTCAGGACCTTGAGTGGGGCCTTCAGGTTGGCCCTGAAGGCCCGGCTGCTGCGCTTGGTGTTGACCCGCTTTCGGCGCCTCCGGAGGACGATGTAGATCTTGATGTAGACCAGCAGCGTGACGATGAAGGGCACGTAGAAGGAGACTACGGACGAGTAGACCACGAAGGCAGGGTTGGCGATGATGCATTCGCTCTGCTCTGGAGGAGAGAGAGCCCCAGGCGGGCAAGTCAGCACCATGCTGTGGAGGCTTTATCTCCTTCATAGGATGAGGAGCAAGGTTACAAAGACTATACCAGATGTCTAAGTTTGCCTGGAAATGTTAAATGCAAATAAATGCACGGCATAAATCAGAGTGTTAAAAACACAACTGTGAGCGAAAAGCTAAGCTGTGATTGACTGCTCTCAAGTTTTTCCATTAATGTTCCCTTGTTACTTTGTTGTTAGTTCTGTCTTTCGATGAGCATGTAAGTGGAGCCAGGTGTTTGGAAAAAATGCACAAAGAAAATTGTTTTAAGAGAATAAGCCATTATTTTAGCCTTTCCTATGTATTGGGGCGAGGTCTGCCACCCTTTAGTTTTAGGAACAAGATCACTGGGTCCTGTTTGTTGAACTCGCTTGTGCTCCACTGTGTTTTCAAGCTCCCTTCCTGGTCTAACAGATGTCTGTCCTCTATCTCGGGACTCTACCCTTCCAGGTTAATCAGAGCATATTTAGGACTTAGAGTCCTAAATATGGAGTTAGATTGTGGACCACACACTTCCACAGCTGCACTGTGTCCTATAGTCCTGTAATGGTCTCCAGAAGTGACCTGCACTGCTCTCGCCTCCTCGATGGCGGTCGCGGATGGCATCTGCTCTGTCTAAGATTGCCTGGCACTGGACAGTCCTCAGTGCAATAGCCTTCTACTTCTTTCTACCTTTTCTGCCCCAGGTGGCTGAGACCTGGCCTGGGCTCGGCCGGCCCTAGGGTTGCAATCTCATTACACAAATAGCATCGTCAGAGATGACAGAGGCCCAGTATCCTCTCCCCATGTGTGCGTACATATGCACACATATGCAGTTTGTGAGACTGTCTGGTCTGCTTCACTCCAATAAACAAAATCGAAAATGGCCAGACATCCTCCTAAATCATTATCCCCACTCCTCATCCAACTCCATTGCACCCCAGGCCATTGGTCCTCTCTGACCCAGCCAGGTACAACACGGAGTCCGACTTAGCCCAGGAGACCCAGCCTGGCCTCAGTCAGGGGTGGCGAACAGGCCCCCAGTGTCCCCACATCACCTCAGCACCAGGGGCTCAGCCCCCTCAGGGTCCTGCACAAAGGCCAGCTGAGCTCCCGCAGATGGAGGCAGAGCTCACCTGTGTGGTTGAGTCCAAAGAGCAGGGGGCAGGAGATGGTGAAGGACAGGACCCAGACGATGGCGATCATAACAGTGACTCGGCGCTTGGAGCTGTACCGTGTGTTGTAGAGCATGGGCATGGCCACAGCTGTGTACCTGCAAGGGCACAAGGCGGAGGGACCCCTCACTCCACGACATGTACACACAAGAGGTACCCCTCTCCTTGGGGATGGACAGTTGGTCCACCTCCATGAAGCCCGCCGACCCCTGACTCAGACAGTGAAGACAGTTGGTACTTCCCAATTAACTGCTTAATGACCGACTGGCTACTATTTAATCCTGGACCATGTCCATTACTCCAGTCTCCCTTCTTGGATTCTAGGCTTTGTAAGGGGCCAGTGCTTGGGTGTTTGTGCCTTTGAAATTGTACCCACTAAACCTGTGCTGGGCTCATAGAAGACGGGAGTGTTTGTTAATGGGTCGGTAGCCAGGCCCCTCAGAGCAAGAGTTAAGCCCCGTTCAGCAGAAAATAAAAGCAATGGTAATTGTGTACAATCCTTCATGCTTCTCTACCCAGCACTTCTCATACATTTGCTCGTCTCATCTTCTAAGAATGCTGCAAGGGGTGTAGGGCCAGGGCCTACCGTGTGTACAAATTAGTGAAAGTGTCCAAGGATATTGATTAGCAAGGAGAGCTCAGCCTGAGACTCCTTGGCCATATGCCCTGTGCTGGACATAAAATGCATAGTCAGACACTATAGCTTCATGTGGGCAAATGTCATCATCCTTGGCTTCAAGACAATAAAACTAGGGTTCCCAGAACTTCTATAATCTACCCAAGGTCACCTAAATAGAATATGATAGAGCTAAGGCTTCGGTCAAAATAAGGTGCATTCTCCTCTATATTAGTCACCGTCTGGATATTCTTGGTAACATCACTGTCCATAAGATGGTACTCTCCCAGGCAGCGCATATGAACCCACACATGTGCACATGCATACATGTACACACACATACACACATGCACACAAAAACACATGGACTCGCGGGCACACAGCCAGCCACAAAGCAGCACAGGCAGAGCCTGACATGGAAGGAGAAGTAGGGCAGCCCGAGAAATGAATGGCCTGGGTCACCTATCCCGCCCTGGCTGAGCTCACCTGTCGATGCTGATGGCACACAGGTTCAGGATGCTTGCTGTGCACATCATGACGTCCAGAGTGACGAAGATGTCACAGTGAATCCTGGTGAATTTCCACTCACCCCACCC